TATCTGTATCAAAAACGGAATAAAACAAATTTTGTTTTCTTCTAGAATTAATTGCGAATAAGCCGTCACTTCTCGCTCATATTTTGTAGAGAATTTTCTCTCAGCTCGTTTCGCTACACACTAGTGAATCGGTTGACGATTTTCATTTTAATTTATATGCATTTCTTCCACATCAACGTCTTTTTTAAATTTCTTCTGTAAATCCTTTCTTTTTTTGAATGCTTGCTACTTTCTCTGAAATATAAAGCCCACATACGTAGAATACATACATAGGGTAGGGTTATGTAGGGAAATAGCTCATCGGGAAAATGATCGCCACTTCACGGACACATATAGTGCATATGCGAATATGTATTCTTCGTCGAAATTTTTCTCATATTCAAAAAAAAAAATATGTAAATGACCTTCGAAATTTAACTCGTCCTGGACTCCTGTTGAAAAAGGCACTTCCGAGAAAAAAGATACAAACAAAAACTGCGTATTTTTGCCCACAGAATCCGAATCTGTAGTAAAAACAGTCATGTGTAATCTAAAAAACTGGATTTCCGGTCAGTTTAACCCACTTCCGGTCCAAAACGGAAAAAAGTTTCGGACAAAAGGTATGTATTTTTATACGCCGAATCCGAAGAGTTGGAGCATACTCGACTTGGTAATTCATATCTTTTCGTTTTACAATAAAAACCATTTCACTCGTTTAAGAAGTCCAGCACGAGTTGACGTTCAAAGGCCATTTAGAGGTTTAAAAAGGCACTTCCGAGAAAATAGTTAGGAGGAGGTTATCAGTTCGTCGGAATATGTTTTTTTTTGTTTTGTGGTCTTTTTTTTCAGAAGAGGAAGCATCGAAATCCTAACCCCGTCAGTGTGAGACTTTAACCCACTAAACCTCCTACCATCTATGTACCGATCCCTGGTCTAGGACACCCTGTATGTATATAGCTATAGATAAATACCCACATTCATAAAAAATATAGAACACTTTAACTGCTTTATAAATCGAAATTTTGTATGAAAATGTTTCTTTATAGAGCTCTTTAAGTAAACCTATTTTATTTTTTTATGAATAAGGCCAAAACATTACGGAGCGTTGGAGGGGAAGTCGAAAAAACTTGCTTTTAAACAACGAATTCTTCACATTTTCCATCTTGTAATTTTTGCTTTTTCCAAACTCAAATTTCTACTTCGTGGAGCCCGTTTTTTTTTTTTTTTGATAATTAAAGTCTGGCTGTTCATTTGAATAATATGTAGGCTCTAATGGAGCCCTGTACGGTTTACAAAATACGATTTCCAGAACATGCCTGTATCTATTTTTAATTGATCCCATTGGCTCTTACATACAATTTAAATGATTAATGCTACTAACTTTCTACCCAAAAATGCCGCTAAGAGTGTAAAGTGGATTTCTTGCTCTCAACCAAGACAATAAATTGCCATTATAATCCAATTTCCGCTCTTAGTGATACACCTTTTATAAGCACTTATGCATGTTTGTATGTAAATGCACACTTGCTGTAGTTTTCTTATCTTCTAAACTGTCTGATTTTAAAACATTAAAATACTGTAATTTCTGTTGCAAAGTGATAATAAATTACAGCGCAAATCGACCAGCTGCTTGCTTGTCGGGTCGCCAACAAAAAGCAAAGAGACGACCGCCATAAATTGCCAAAGTGAACTTTGCAAAAATTATTAAATAATGCGCAATAAGTATATAATTCTAAAATTAAACAAAAAAAAAATCGATTCAATAAAAATGTATAAATCAAAATTAGTCATAAAAAGGGACTGCCTCAAGGCACTTTACCATTAATTTATGTTAATTAAAATAGAAAATGTAAAGCTGACTTAATTACGAAGTTATTTTACAGTCACAATATATGTCCATAGGTATGCACATATGCACCTGTATACTTATGTGTGCAGTTATAATATTATTATGCAATTGAAAATTTAATTTCTAATATTAATCGAGCATCATCAGTCACAAGCTGACAGCTGTACTTCGATAAACCTCATATTAGTGTTTTACTTTTTGTACATTTATTTTTGATTTATGTCAAGTCCAGTTAAGACTATATTAGCGGTTGAAGCCGACATCTACTATTGGGTAAAGGGGGATCTGCATAGCATGCGTATACGTATGCGTGCGTTTGACAGAAAAATTTAACATACAAATTTTTATGGCAGCACCTACATATATAGCGACGCATGAAAATTGTATGAATTTTAATTTCTAAACGTAAAGGATAAGCACGCATAAGGATAAGCACGTTATGGAGGTCCGCCTTAAATGCAAAAAATTAGAATGACATTTTTTTTAATCTTAAAAATAAATTCAAATGTAGTCAAGTCATTGCTATTATTTCGTGTGTGTGAATAATAGTGTCTAAGGATATTTTACGGCCTTCTGTCTCACTTTTTCCTTACGAAATAATGGAACGGGCATATATTTCTGAGGAAAATAAGGATGTCTTGTACTCTTCACAAACAAACTTTAGCAAACCATAGTAGAAAGCGTTGCAAATTTCTTAAGAACTTCATACTGGTTAAGAAAATTTGGCTAAACACATTTTTCTTTACCATTTCTTGTTCATATAATATTGGAGAGGGCGCCTCTAACCGATAGATCCTCTTAACTTTCAGGTTCGCCTGAAAAAGGTAGGTAATTAATGTCGATTTCGTTTCTTCCGAAAAATGTTGCCCTTGCACGGTGCGAAATGTGTTTCATATTACACTTAACCCTGTAAATGGAAATTTTTTTGTCTTCTTGTCCTTAACAAGTTCGCGCATTTCATAATATTGTGGTTTTAAGCTACCATCTGATTTTCAGGGCAACCATATCATTCAAAGGACAGAGAACGTGCCTTTTTTGCTTAACAAGAGTGTGACATTCTAAAAAATGAACACAACATTTTCTTACTGTTTGCCTTTATTTTACAATCGAACACGAAAACAAAATGCGACAATCAAAACGAAAGGCAAAAACCACGTCCCTCATGGATTTGGGTTCTAATTTTGAATGGCTTTTGTCAAACCATACTAACTTGAAAAGGCTGCGCTCACCAGTTTGCCTTCTTCATTCTCGCCTTTATTGCCGAATAGTCAGTCTTATGCCGAATTGTCACTAGGCATTGAAATGACAAAAAATTTGTGTAACAAACTTAAGGCCGGTTACTCAATGTCTGGTTAACACTAATCTCCGGTAAAACATCGTTATCGACGTTACCGACTCCATGTTATATGCATGGAGCCGAACACGTCGATAATGATGTTTAAACGGAGATTAGTGTTAACCACATATTGAGTAAACGGCCCTTAGTCAGCTAGTGGCCAATGAAATGCCATTATTATCTCATATTGAGCAAATGAAGGGAATTCTTTTATTTTATTTTTCCCACATAAAATATTGATTGAGTGCATTTTATTCTTTATTTATTTTTAAATTCGCCTAATCGCTGCCTCCTTATCACGCTGATTTTTAATCTATTTGTAATTATATACTCATTATACGAACTCCTGTCATTATATCCGTATATATGGTATGTTCATATGTACTTATGTATGTATATACATATATAAATTTTGTGTAGGTGTTTCGTTTTGTTATTCTTTTGAAATAAATATGGTTATACATACATACACACATACTTATCTCATATTCAATAAATATGCACGC